TTCGGCTAAGAAAGACGAGCCCCATAACCTGCAACTACAGTGATTAGCCATAGCGGCGTTGCCAAGTCTTCCCAACCTCACCTCGACCAAAAAATGTCTGCTCGATTACCGCATTTTCACTAAAATAAACTAAAAAATTAGCAGCGAAATTTCCGGTAAACTATATATTTTATGGTTGCGGATTCTTCGAAATCTAATGTACAAAAAACAATGTTTTTTCTCACTTCATCTAATCGAAAAATGCGAAAATATGTGATTGAAACCGTGATAGAGCCTTCTTTTTCTGGCCGTCTGTGGGTGTTTCTACGTAAATAGCGTTTTTTACTGTCCAAGCTTGTTATATGTTTATGATTGAGAGGAGGGTAAGCAATCGTTGTGAAAATTCACTACTGCATCGTATTTGAAGTATCGCACAATAATCTGCTAATTGGGGAGTGGCTTATGCAATGGAAACATGCAGAAACTCCTAAAAATGTCAGTTACCTGGCCTGTCCATTGTCGAAAATTCTCTATTCCAGTTACTCTTACTCCCTCCAATTGCAAACTCAATTAAAAATTTCCCATGTTTATTCAATCATAATATAGAACTAAGATTTTAACATCATGCATTATTAAACATAAATCTCTCTTTGGAACCGAAAAAACCGGCTTCAAACTTGGTCCGGACATATGGAGTAAAATTGCACATTTTGAATTTTACCGCGGTTCCGCTATGTTGCATCGATTTAATGGGAGTCTGGTGTGGAGATTTCAAGAATTGGACATCAGGTGTGTTGTTTACATTGTTGGTGGTTGGTTGTTTTGAGCGTGATACAATCGTAATCGTGTATTTCACTTGAGAAAAGGTATGTCATAAAATTACGCGTCATTTACCTGGCACATCTTTTTTTATTATATCGCAGTAAATTTTTCCTTCTAGTGGTAAAATTCTGATGATATTCGGTAGACTAAACTTGATTTTTAATGGAAATTGGTTTACGTCAATTCAGGAGAAAGTGAGATTAATTCAACCATGAAATGTCAGTCTACTGGCATGTCATTCACCTGGCCATTCATGGGTTTGACGTTGAAATAAAATCAAACACGGTAAAAAACGTTGAAATAAAATGATTTTTATATTTACAGATGGTTAAAAAAACGACTCCACGATGTGGAGTCGCTCTAGAAAATGTGTCAAAAATGGTAAACCGGCATTTATCAAATTGAATTTTTTTGCTAATTGTGAATTTATCTCGGGAATAAGTAATTTTAGGAATTTTTTTGACATTTTCTCTCAAAATCACTCATTGTTGAGGTAATTCAATATTTTACTAGACATGCAAAGTCGACTCATTACCGCACTTTACCAGATCACTGATGAATAAGCCATTACTTTCAGGTTTTTGATGTTGTAGTACGCTGGCTTTCAGGGTATGTTTCTGCTTCTATATTCACTCAAAAACAGGAAAAAAAAATTTTTTTTAGGTATGTTTGAAATTGAGAGATTTGCAATCTGAAAAAACGCTATTTACGTAGAAACACCCTTGTATGAAGTAATGCAAAATTTGTGATTTTCGAAATCGATTTTCTAGAGTAAATAGTCCGTAAGGAGCCACAAAAAAAATCGACTGCAAAGCTGATCATATAATTTGATATAAAATCCGAAATCGAAAACTTTATCTAATACATGCCCTGACGAGACGACTACCTTAATAAAAATGTTGCAATGCGAAAAATGAAAAATGCTGGTATGTTATTCTATACATTTTTAGCTATACTATACTGTAATTTTATAGAGAAAGTGAAAGTATTTACTATAATTATGTCATTCCTTATAAACAAACACCAAAAAATTACGTATGGGTGCATCCAAAACACATTTTTTATTATATTTTTCACTTTTGTGGACAGATTGAAATCAAACTACAAGAGATTATGTGCTATTATCTAAAGCCTTTAATGAGTTCAGCATCGACTCGTTATCTGTTATTAGTTTAGAAAAATTAGCAATTTATTTTACCCACTTCGTCATCTTACCCCCTTTTTCCCTAATCGCAAAGAAATCATTAGATAAGTAATTTGTGCCGTTAGGGGAGCGTCGATGATATATATTTAATGTAAACTAAGAAAATTAAGAAATCCAGAAAATCTTAGTATTAGAATCCACAATCATTGACGCTTAACACGGCATGATGTATCGTTATCATTGTCGAGATTAGAGCGCGGTTTACTTGTATATCGCAGATAGACCCGCGATTCAGAACTGGTTGTCCTCTTTCTATTGCGTTACGTGCCTCGGCGTCGTCGCGCGAGGGGGAACGAATCGATCGAACGGTCGCGCCAGCCGCGGGCTCCCCGTGGCGTGTTACGAATCCTGCCAATCACCGGAGTGTAATCGATATCAGGGTCCGGAGGTAGGCATCGAGCCGATACGATCGGCTCCGCCCCGGGCGTGTCGCCGGCCTGGACGATTTATAATGTTAATATCCCCGAGGCAGGGCTCCACACGAGAGCTCCGCGCGCGCTTTCCGCTTGAATCGCCTCTACCCTTGCCTCATCCCGCCTCGCTCGTTCCCCGTCCCTTTTTTACTTCTCCCTGCTCTCTCGTTACGTCTTGTAAGTGCAAAGCGGGAGAAAGCGGAGCCGGGCCGCGCGCGATGGGATCACGAGGAAAATTGGGTTACTTAGTTAAGTGGATAAGTTTGTTCTGTATTCCGGCCTAACCGCCGTCTATGTCCTAATGACTACCTACACTTGGCCAGAAAACAGAGAATTATACGGCGGATAGCGTATAATTAGCGTTACTCCGCGGTGCGCGGTGAACAGACGGTCAGCGTGAAGCGTTACGAACGTATTGCATACGCATCCAAATTCAATCTACAATTTAGAGATTCAAACGGGTTTGTCTTAAAAAGCGATGTTAAAAGTATAACAATATTTAGAAATATGAAAACAATGTGACTATCAATATTTAAAAATATGTAATTGCTTTAAATCTGAGAATTCACTCACGTGTGGTGTCGAAAACCTTCCGGAAATAGTTTCGCCACCGGTAACACCGAATGCACGTTCTCGGTGTCGGTTATCGACGTCGCCATATTTCATGCGAACGAATGTTAACTAAAAATCTAATGCATCTCACGGACCGCGATGTCGAGAGATCGCGGATGTTGTTTGCGCCAGCGAGACTCCGCTCGTTCACCATGTCGGGCGTAAATCTACCGGCGAGCCGCGCCGTTACGATGACGACGAGGAGAACGCCCAGTTACATATTTGTGTTTCCCACGATACGGTCACGAAGTGACTTGCAGACGTCATGTTCCGAGTGCACTCGCCGCCGGTGGCTTCGAGGCTCGATAGCGTAGCGCCTTAACCGGTCGACGTTCATCCAGACGAATGTTTATACGCGCTCTCTCGCGCGTTCGACTTCGACTCTCGACCACTTCTTCTCCATCGTATCGCGCGCGCCTACGGCGCGGCCGCGCAGCGGACTCTCGGACAGACGGATGGAGAGCTCCAAATTCGAGCTAATAGGTGGAACACTATCGTGATCCTGTCGCGTCGCTGGCGTGAACGTGTCGAGGATGTTGCAACGTGTGTGTACTTAACGGGGTTACGCAGACCGAAACGTTTTAGAATGCCGGAGATGACATGGACGAGCTCGTCCGATTTGTGCTCGCTTGTCCTACCTGCGATAGAATTTATCTACCGCCGACGGAGTCTACGGTCGAGTGACGTGCGTTCAGTAAAGGAATCAATTTTCTAATAAAATCTCTTTCTAACGAGCGACGACTCCTGTTAAATCTCCGTGACAAGTCTTATCCCCTTGCACATCTTTTGTATGTCTCAACATATTTCCATGATTCTCGTGGCAACGGAAAAGAACTATCCTATTGAGAAAAACCCGCTTGTACTTTGCATACACCTCCAGTCTTAAATTCTCGATGCTAAGTACAACTTACGTTACGAATTTACCAGAAGTTGCTTGCCGCGTAAAGAATTGAATTAAAAAAAAAAAAAAAAAGAAAAGATCGAGCGTATCGAAATCGTACTTGGCGAGGACGTGAACCGTGTCGCGACTAGGGTCAAGGTCAAGCCTTCGCGCGAGAAACCGGCGTTAATGCTGGCGCGACTCCCATGTGCGCGATCGACGAAGCACACGAGTCGCAGCGCCCAGGCAGGGAGAGAGGCGAATTCCTTCGGTATGAACGGTAAATTAGCATTATGGTTGCATTATCGATGTTGTGACGCGGCCTTACACGCAGCGCGGTCGTTCCTGCCGCGACGTGCGCGGCAGGATCAGCTCTCTCTAACTCTGATTTATACCGCTTACAGCGACATGCGTCGCGCTGACGTACTCCCCTTATACCATTCCCAGGACGCACCGAGTTACGCGAGCCACGCGTAATTTATTGTATCGCATTACGGAGCCGCGAGGGTACTGCCGGATCGCGGATGTAGAACGGATTCACGAGTCGCTGCAGCGATGTACCCCGCGACACTTGAATTAATCTAGCCGCATGTATCAATGAAGAATGGAACGTGATAATCTTAAATCGGTCCTTCTTACGCTCTTTCTTATGCGTCGCGCATTAAATTCATATATATTCTTTGGCCCATTCTGCACGCTATATTTATACGATTTTATTTACAATAAACTTTCCTGATGCATGGGAATATGAAATCCTTGAAATCTGCATACGCGACAATGGGCGCACTTGTTAACAGATACTTCGGGGCATAATGGTAAAAGAGAGTATAACGAACGAGTCATGTGAATAAAGCGGAGGCGCGTACTTCGCCGCCGCCTTGTGCATAATTCAAGTTCAAAGAAAATGTCAATACCTATATACGCGCGTTCCTCCCACACTCGCGCTCGTATATTGAACGCCGCAGAAAGCATAACCGACCCCCGACGAATCGCGTACGGAGGGTTCGTCGAGCGTTCGCGGGATACTCGGACAAGTACAAGGCGAGGGTGATTCCGCGGGTGATCGCGAGAGCGGAGCGGAGGCGGCGACCCGAGAATGAAGAAGAACAGCGTGGAGAGGGGTGACGGCGGCGGCCGCGGCGGTCCGAGGAGGGTACAAATTGCAGGATCGGCTATCGGGCGGAGTAATTAATTAAATACAATAAAGTTAGGTCGACCCTCTCGTATCTGGCATCGGCCACTCCTCCTATCGACCGTCCAACTCTCGCATTCAGCCGCGTCTTCGGTCCTGATGCGCGCTCGGAACTCGCGGAATACCGAGAAAGGGATACGGTCGTCCGGCACGGCGCGACGACGGGCTGCAAGCCGTTCATTTTTGTCCCCTTCGTGCTCGACCGACCGTGAGATTGCGCCGACGACACAACAAAAGTAAGAACTCATATCTGTGACCATAGAGCGAAGTACTTAAACAGACTGTTTTAACGTGATTTGCATAAACTGTCGTGCGTTAAATGCATATACACTTTTACTCTGTGATAGGTCGGAATTAATTCAGGTAATGTAACTGTGCTAACTAAACATAACTTAACGTTGCAGGTACCCGGTATTGCGATGCTTCTACGAAGATCTACGAGACACTAGCCAACGAGGAGGCCGCATAGAATTCTCGTGCGCGACGAAGGAGAAAAGAGACCTTTCGGGCTATCTGATAAAGCGGAATATTCTGGTGCACGAGATCGGCGGGGCGCAGGTATGGATAATTATAATAATTGGCCGATAAATCGATAATTAATCAGGAGACTAATTACGAATTATGGCCGTCGTGAGACAATGCTCGCGCGGGCATTGTCTGCGGGGAGACGCGTACGACGGCAAGTGTGGGAAGCTAATGAGTATATAACGTTAGAAAGTTACAGGTCGAGAACTCGCAATCGGGTTTTTTTTTGTCACGGTTATTCGCGTGGACTAGCTTACTCGCGATGATAGGCGAAGTACACGCGCATCTGCATCGATCTCCGACTCGCGATTAACGTAACAACCTCGAAGGTATACCCAGTCGATATACGTGATTCATGCGTGAACCTCGCACTTTCGACATCGCTAAGCCTCCCAGGTGTACAAGAACGAACGTCTATTATCCATTGCGCTTCGCCTACCGAACGCGCCACAATTTATTCCTCTACGTAATATCACCACTATCATTACGGACGTAAAATCGGCGCTATTGAAACACCCTCGATATGCTCGATGTGCCAACTGAAGCAGATAATATCTTCATCACGCAAACCGTGTCGTCACAGTTATTAATTGTCAATGCCGTTGATGCGTCAACTTCGGTCGCGCTGAATGCAACTCGGGATTATTCTTCGAACTGGCAGCACTTCTTTCGGAATCGGTTCGGCCACCTGTACGCCACCGTGCGCTCCTTTCGTCTCCATTCTTAAACGAGCAAAAGAGAACTTGTTCCCGCGAGCGAGCGAACGAGCGAGCAATCATCGGCTCGGCTCGTCCAAGAATAGCCTTCCCCGAAGCGGCGTTCAATCAAATAAATAATTTTTAGGGCGAACTGGGCGGCGCAGTATCGCCGCGGCATAAATTATCCGCCGACGCAACTCGAACACAACCGGGCCACAATATCTATAATATTGTGCTCCAGGATTAGACTCTTAAACCAAGTCAGCTAGCGTTCGCCATGGAACGCGTCTTCCCTCTCAACCCCATCTCATCCCCCGCGCCGCGCTTCATCGGCGAGACCGCAACGCGTTCTCGCCGGCAATCGTAAACTCGCTGTCAGAGAAACGAGATTTCGAACGAGATCAGCTACGGCTTCATGGAATCTCTCGCTAGGGACAACTGCGGATGACCTATACCCTATAAGGTTTCGCCCTCGAATAGGCAGAAAATAGCGCCGCGAGAAAATAGCTTTGAGCCGGCGGGCGGGGCGCGGCGGGGACAGCCACCTATAACCGGCTCGTCGTGAATCATCGGCGTCCGCCGTCTAGTGCCCGGGAATTAAGGGCTTCGATTGTTCACGTGCCACCGCATCTCAGAAGGCACAATCCTACGAACCAAACGCGCCGTTATCCATTTCCTGCCTGCTGACCGTTCCAATTATTTTGATGATATAATAATTATGATCATTGAATTCATCACTATATACGCGGTCGCTTTGAAAGCTGAATTGTTTGTAACAGAATTCTCGCGAATTAATGATTAACACCTTCGAGGTATTTTCACACAAAATGTGTTCTAACATTCTGATTGATCCATTCGTAATTGCATTTGACAATATCGACTCGGATCAAATATCGAGTGTGTTAAATATTACAGTGCTGTAGGCGAAAGAAATTTATTATCACTTCTAACGATTTATGATATTCGATTACTGCAGACAGACGTACACACATCTATTCCAACGTGGAGTGATTTTTATCTGGCTGCCAGCTAACCGCCCATAAAAGTCACTCGCGATGTCGTACCGCTCGGTAGCGTCACCGCGGATCGAAATCCGCAGCGGATGGAGCACCGCGAAAAAGAAGCCTGGAGTAAAATGCGGCCGTGGTGGTGGTGGCTCGAGTGGTCGCACGATGAACCGGAGGAGCCACGACGATCCGTGGGTAATGCGCGTTCTTGCGTTCCTCATCGCGGATGACGCAGCGAAAGAGCACGCCGCGCGTCCTCATAGGACCGCATCTCTCCCGCGTATAGTCCGCGTGGTATACCGTAAGCCCCATGGGCTCGCTCGCTCGTTCCGAGTGCCGCTGCCTCCGCAGAATCCGTATTAAGGTGAATTCACATTCGTCGAGATCCTCTTTAACCCCCTCGCGAGAATAGAACCGTTCGGCGTGCTACGCGCCGAAGCGGAGCTTCGGACGTTTCCCGTCTCGTCCATGCGGTTAATCTCGTCCCGACTTGCCTCGTTAAAGCGCGCATTTTGTATACTATATACATCGGCCCCCGAGATTAAGTTCCTGTTCACACTGTGAGAAAGGAAGTAATAGTACACCGCTATCAACTTCTTTGGTTTCGCGTGCTTTCGAATGGCGCAACGATAAATTCCGCCTGACGGTTATAGAGAGCTAACCGCGGTCTCTTCCCTTTCTCTTCACGAACTTCAAAACTTCGGTCCCGAAAAATCGTGCTCGGATCCATTACATTGGTAACAATATCTACTTCGTAGAGCGCATTGTAATCGCTATCGCGCGGACGAGACGGGAAAGAGAGGCATCGGCGCGGTCCGCGTTCTCGCGATATATTCCACAAAGAGCGGAATAAGAAGAGAGCTAAGAGAGTGAGAGCAAGTCGCGACTACAGAGAGAGAGGAAGGAAACGAACGAGAGAGGTACACAGTCGTAGTTCAGCCCGTGGCCCATCAGATAGGACGCTGATTCCGTTCAAGGGTGAAGCGAGAAGAAGGTACACCGTGGTGCATCATGTCGACGAAAGAGGAGGGCAGGAACGGGAGAGGGAAGAGGAGGGGGATGGAAAAGAGAGAAGGAACGAGGCAGGTCGAAGCCAGCTCGATCGCGTCGCGCTCGATGGAAGAGGATCGACGCAAGACGGGGTTGTGCGGGGGCGAGACAGGGGAGGGGGAAGAAAGAGGGAGGGTTGAAAGAGGCACATTGTTTGCCGAGCGAAGCCGATAATTCAGTAATGAACGTAAGCAACGCGCGCCCGCGTTCAGGGCTATAATTACCGATACCACATCGGATAGCGGATCCCTTAACTTCGGGTCTCGAAGCGCTACGAAGAAGCGCGGTCCGTGCTAGCGCGAGTGAGCAAGCGGATATAGTATTTCCTCGACCATTCCTTCTCTCTCTCTGTCTCACTCCTCCCTCTGCCTTCCTTTCCTGGCCACGTCTTAGAATGGGCAGCTCTAAATTAATAAATCAATAGCCCCGGCTCTCTTATCCGATTCGCGGGTGGGTGGAGTTTGTTTGTTCAAGAGCAGGATTTATTAATTTTTCGCTGGGTGGTAAATCCCCACTGGTATACCACCGCCTTCTCGCATTCGAGCGGACCCTCTTCCTTCCGTCTTTTTTATGCGCGCGATCACCTTTTAGTGCGCTTTGAAAGTTCGACACGAGTCGAGAGACGATTTTCGAAGCGAAAAACTGAGCAAATTTTACATCTCTTCCTAATTAGATTACAAGATCAATCTCTTGCGAGCGTATATCATATTGCCAGAGCAGTAATGTATGAATAACGTGTCACGTAATTTCTTCTCGCGCGAAATAGCTTCAGAGAGAAGGGATGATCTCAAAGCTTAAGGTACGTATGAGTGGTGTACCTACTGCCATCTCTTCATTCCGTCTCGAACCTCCGCACGAACGTATCAGGAATTTCATTTGCGTATGTGAACGGTACCTTTAATATATATGTGCATTTCCCGCGGGAAATGCGGTTCGACGGGTCAATCATCCGCAGCGAGGCTATCATTGATTAGATATTCTCGCGCTTCTACTAATTGCGTCAATGAATATTAATAGGCAATAATTATCACGGAACAAAATATAATTGGTACAATAATAATATAACATGTGGTATATTTTTTATTTGTTATAATTTTTATTATAATTTTTATAATATATAAATAAAAACGTGAGTTATTGAATAGAATACCAAAGACACAGGTGCATGATTAAATATAAATATATGCTAGGATATTCTAATAGATACGTCCTTGCTTGTGTAAAAGACCGCTCGAACTATCAATTCTGTGGATTAGAATCGACCCCTCGATTTTGATGCCTCGGGTAAGCATTGAATAATTTCAATTCGATCCGCACGATAGATTGAGCAACTTGCCGAAGTTGCTCATTTTGCGAAAGAAGGCGTTCACGCGGTTCTTTCCTCTCACCACGACTGGTGTGGTATTTGAATCGTAATTCCTCTCTTTCCGCTCGAATTCTCGCAACTCTTCAGCCGTTCTCCGTATTATTCAAAGTACGCTGCTTACAATTAGACCTTCCATCTATCTCAATTTATAAATGAGTCACAACACATGTATGTATTTGCATATTTGCTTTAGCATCTAATTTTTCTTTAAGCATGTCTCTTTCTTTATTTTAAATTAGAACAGTTTTGGATTAAGCTTGGAACAATAAATAAAGAAATAAAACTAATTAGTATATTATAATATAATATAACGCTGAAGAGAGAGAAAGAGAGAGAGAGAGCTGCAGCAACAAAATTATCAAGAAAGTACTAAATTCCTATGTATATTCATTCGATTATTCTGAAATGATTATATGCCAATTTAATAGACACTCTCTTATTGTTAGTTGAACTTATGCAAAGTTAATCTAAGTAAGAAATTTTCATTATCAATTAAACATTGTATATCAAGTGTTTATGTAAATATTTCTTGCACAGGTCATAGATCCGTTAGCTTGGCATTTGTTCTCTTTTGTTAGAAACATCGAATAATCTTTCCCGTCAATTTCGCTGCATGTAAAAGCTACGTACATAATTCAGATACATAATTTACACCTTCGCTCATTTTTGCTCCTTTATGCCTTCTCGGTCTTGCTTATTTAATCAAAGCTCGTATCCCATATTGTGCTGCTTAATATATGCCTTTCATGTGACGTTAGAAGGCTTGCCCTAGGCCGTCAATAAACACAACCATTACTACTACTACTACTACATGCGAAGCTCGTGATTTCGTTCTAACGATCAAGGCAACGATGTCGACGTTTCGGTAGGCATTGTACGTATCGTTGAAAAATCGTAATTAGATCCACCGGA